AAAAATAATTGGTGGTAAACACTAGGTGAAGAATCCTCCGTTACTTAAACAACAAAAAAAGTCAAAATAGAGAACTAAGAGCAGAAGAAAAAACAAATATTTTACCTCTAAAAATTCATAAAGCCTTCCCATTCCTTACTAAATTTTTAGTATAATCTCAGCGCAGAGAGAAGAGCAATAATACTTTTTAAGTATGTAAAGGAAATACTGTTCGTCTTCCCTCCACTTCCTTCCGCTCCCTCCCACTTCCCTCAACCTATTTTCCTTGTTTCGTACGGCAGACTCCCACTCACCTAGAATTCGCTCCTTTATTTAGAGGCACCAAACAGAACTATCCATGGCAACAGTGACTCTATAAAGTACTCATTACCTAATAGAAAATTAGGAAACAAGCATGCATACAAATGAAAGCATTCGGCAATGAAAATACACACGTTTGGATTTCAAAAAATTAGTCGTTGATCGTCGCCAATACAAACCACAGTCGTCAAAACTTCTATTCATCTTTGCCATTTCTTCTAACTGTTTAAATATCTCTTGCTACAGCAAAAGAAAAAAGAAAAAAAGGAAAACTAAGCAACCAAATAAAACCACTTTAAGCTGACAAAATAAATGTAAAGGTGACCCAATCCAAACTTTGCGAGGAAGTTTTGCACATTCATTTAGCGCAAACTGCATACATTAAGTCCTCAGCAATTAGATAACCCATAATGCCTTTTAATTCCCATCTTTACGTTTTTCTTTAAAAGACGATGACTTTATCAGTGACAAACCTGCAAACAGTCTATCATCTAAGAAGAGGTCCCAAAACCAATGATGGATCCCCATACAAACCAAAATCAAACCTTCCGTTGCTGATCCATTTTTGTAGACTGCTTTCAAAAGTCATATGTATAAATTAGAAAAAGAGACATGAGGAAATGAAACAACAACAGTAAAATAAGCAGATTACATACCAGAAATATTTGCCACGATTAAATTTTGAAGTAAGACAGTTGCAGCCTCAAAAAAATGTTGTCACCATTATGAAGGGGACTTCAAAATGTTTGGAGCACTCATCATTACCAGTAAATTGTCTGAAGCATTGCCTTGCGTACCAAATTCATTATCCACTGGTTACAACACCAAACAGCATTCTTACAATAATTTCTAAATTGAGTGATTCCAACCCCTTTTACTAGTATCATCAACTTTTTGGTCATAAAACAGGAAATAAATAGAAATACGATTAATGATTTCCCCACTATGTTTCACAAACCTGTAAGTGACTGGCTTCCAACCGCTATATCTGCTTTTTGCAACGTTCGTCATTACTTTTAACATTCAGTTCATTTTAAGATCCAAGTGGAGTAAGAGAGTGAAAAACATAACAAGAGAAGAGAAAAGCAGAATGCGACTATAGGCTTGAAAAAAAAATAAAGTGAGTACCACAAACCGCGCACTGCTAAATCAAACTTCTATTCCTTGGTCCATGAAATGATCGACATGATTCATAACTGTTATCTAGAACAATAACAGAATAAGCATTATTCGATCGTCCATATCAGTGTGAAGCGGATTGAATGCTGAGAAAAAAACTGCAAGAAAAAAAAGAAAATTCAGTCACTGGTACAAGAGGTTTTGGCGTAAGATTAGAATGCCA